TCCTGCTGGATCCTTTTTCAGTCAGTGCGTGGAATGAACTGTCACAGAATTCAACCGCTGTTACCCATTTACTCAATATTTATTCTTATTCAGGAGCAATCATTCTTTAGAGTATAACTGTAGCCTTCATTTAGAATACACACCCCAATTACTACACTAAATACATTACCTATAACATCCTAAGCTGTTGGTTGTTCCCACAGAGTATTTGTGTACCTCTTCGATACGGCTGATTTTATCTTTAAAACACCTCTCTGATACAAGGTCTGACACCCTCATTTCCCTGAACCGAGATCTCACGTCAGTGAAGTGAGAGCTAGAAAAGGTAAGGCCAAATAGATCAGATATCCACTGAGTCCCTCATCTAACAGAACACCTTACACAATTAAATCTACAGCTCTAATGGACCTCCTTTACACTGGTTATACAAACCAGGCCTCAAGAAGTTCAGGTTGGAGACCCAAACCAGAAGAAACAACCAACCTTCCCCCTCATTTGGAAAGCTTGGAGAGGCAAACTGCAAAGACTAATGACTATAAAGCTCTAAAGTCCTGCTGCACCCAGCTGCGGGGCTTCAACGCAGGCCCTGCCTCTATAGACAAGCACCCGGGTTGTACTCACACTGATGCGCTCTTCTCTGTCATCAATGCGGACTTTATCTTTCTTCCAGTAGATTGTAGGCTCAGGGTGTCCACGAGGCGGCTGGCACTCCAATATGGCAGGCTCTCCAGCTGCCACCACCACATCTGTAGGGTTTTGGCGGAAGTCATCCCGTAGCACTGGTGAAATAAATGAGGAAAAAAGAAAAAAATCACTAGAAGTGATGCCATTGCAAGTGGGGGGAAAAACACATGCGGGTACACACAATACTAAACAAGCCTCAGCCATTATCAGGTGATGACTCTGCATCCTCTATTTACTGTAAGAGATGTCATAAAAGAAGTTGGTGAGGAATGACCTTTTGCCCAATGGAAGCAGATTTCACATACATGGTTTTCTCTTCCCTTGTTTTTTCTCCAGATAAGAACATAAGAACACTTCTCTGCATTTAAATTAGAAAGACCTGTAACACCCATTACTCTTTTTAACCTTGACAGGGTCACATCCCAGAGTTGCAAAACTAGCATTGCAGGTCTGACATGGAGATCTTTTCATAACAGAAAACAACATGCTGAATATCTGGCTTGCCCGGATTCCCAACTCAGCATAAGCTAGGTAAAGAAGTGACCCAACTGATGCTGAACTGCAGAGTCACACCTATATGAAAGGTACTGTTATTATTACTGTTACTATTGTTATCACCAAATGCATGCCGAAGAGATCACCCGTGCTAAAAGCTGTCAAAGAAATCTAGCTGATGGTACTGTGCTTCCAGCATATTTATTTCTTGGGTTGGTTGTTTTTATACTTTTAGTATTTCTGCAACTTCGACCAGAGCTGTCCCAAGAAACTGAAAGAAAAGAGCATTTAAATCACCAAGCTGTTTGAGAACTAAATTAGGCAACACAGGACAGATTCTTATGTAAATCAGGCTTCTCTAAGAAGGATTAGGTCCAGCTATCTGGCTTCTGTATGTTAAAATAATATCCACTTCATCGTCATTCTGCCATGCGTGTCCTAGTCTCTAGGTTAATTGACATTCTTATAAACATAAAACTGAAAATAGCTTTAGATGAGCTACTGAAATAGAATTTAGGGCATTTCTCCTCCTTGAATTTCAGCTACGTATGGCTTTCATTACAGCTTTAAAACAGTTCTTGCCCTTAATGGAACGGGGGCCCTCTGAGAAATTAGAAAACACTGTATCCTAGTGAAGGGGGCAAGTCAAGAAGAGTTCATCAGAAATTGCTCAGTCTCATTTCATAAGCAGAGATAATTTACTGCTTTCAATGTTAATAAAATGTGCCTCATTTTAACATTTGGAACTGAATATTTTTCTGTACTGTAATAAGCCAGAAGAAAATATGATTAATGCATACAAGAATTGGTTTCTGAATGGGCTGAGGTGAGAGGGCTGTATATATGTAGCACTCAAAATGACATATAAAGTAACTTTTATTGTTCCCCATTTTGGGATACACAGGTAGATCCCAGAGGGAGGAGGGAATTAATTGGAAGTTAATTCCTTTTCTAACACATGAAAAGAAGATTGATTGCTCTTGAAGTATAAAACAAAAGTGACAGGACACAACTGGCAACAAACGCAGCTCTGGTAAGAACCCCTACACTTCTTGGGTGATACACCCAATTGATATGTTTTTTCCAACAGATAACTCAGCAAAAGACTCAACCTCAAAATATTTCTGATTAATACAGATTACTCATAACCTTTTATTTTGCAATAATCAAATTGATAGAAATTGAATTATAGACCTTCAAGATGAAAGAAGTAACTCATGCAATGAACACCACTGAAACAGTAAGCTGGAGATCATGGGCTGCTGACTATTTGTCATTACGCAAACCCAAGAAAGCTTATACCACAGGAACTTCAGGGAAAGAACCAGCATTACAAAATCACACATTTCAGGAAGCATCTTCATGCATCTCTGTGATCACTGTCAAACCCAGAAAGAACAAATAGCAGGCAATGCTATGCCCTCTTTCATATAACTGGCAACGGTGCAGAGATCAGCTTCTTCCGTCATTTTTACACACAAAAGAAATAATAATTTTTATTGTCTTCATTCTTTGCACAATTACAAAACTTCAGTGAAAATGCACTAGTGGAAAATGCCCATAAAATCAGCAGATCCCACAACGTAATGACTTTATATACTCCTGTCTCCTAACCCCTGGCAGCAACATTAAGGAAAGCATTTTCCTTGAACATTTCACACTGCTTTATGAAGCTGACAAATACAGTTTCTTGGGGTGATACACAGCAAATTACATTAACTTTCTCTGAATCATTCCAGCAACTGTGTAAGGTTCCAATCAGCCTCAGAATATGAGGCTAAGAGGTGAATTTGATTTTATCACATTCCTTTACCCGTCTTACTGCAAATCTGGCTTGAATGGAAGACAAAATTGATGCTACAGGGTTTACTTAATCTTGCTCTGTACCTCAGCACATATGTGAATCTTGAATAAATATATCTCATCATTTCCATCTAAAGCATTCTGTGTTTTGGAGAAAAACAAAAAAGGCTGGAGAAAAATGAAATGGGGGTGGGGGGAGGGAAAGCAGGGACAGAAAGACAAAGATAAGAGAAAAATGTGTGGAATATAAATTTAAAGAGAGAAAACAACTCAGAGGGGAAGAGGAGGAACACTGTTACTTTAGGAAAAGTGAAAACAAAAAGACAGGTAAAGGAAGGAAAAGAGTAAGAATAAAAGCAGGGAGAAAAACAAGGTAAAAAGCAGAGGGAACAGGCTGTCATTCCTGTGATTCAGTGCTTTTAATGGAACATAACAACGACAGAAAGCACAGATGTTGATCTGATCGGCACAGCCATCCCAGCACACCCAAACACCACCCAGAGAAAGAAGGAGCAGGGAAGAGAAAGGGTGCAAACTGGCGACTTTGGCTGTCCCACTCCGGTGGCACAGAAAGCCACAGAAGAAGGGAGCATCAACTGGAAGTTGAGTTCACACTTATTAGCACACAGTAAATGGAAAAGTTGCAGCACAGCTTAGTGCATCCACCATATCTAATGGCACAATCATCTGTGAAAACAGACAAAATGGTTGAGAGCTGCAGAATATTCCTCAGCCAATTATCCACAATTGCTGGATACTTCCAAATAACTAGTGGTGCGCCTGAGCAGCTCACCCTCTCCACACGCTGGGAAGAGGCTTTTGTTCACTAGAGAAGCCAGCCCTCCTCAGGGCCCTCTTGGCAGGGCACAAATATGAACACTTCAAAAATTCAACACAAGCGACAGGCTCCATCTTCCGCCAGGCTCCTCCTTCTCATTCCATGTTCTTATTTTGCTTTATTCCAGTTTTAACGTTAAGTTACGCAGTTCCCTTTGTGCTTGCACGGGTGCTACCCTCCATTTACCAAGGGACACCAAATGCCACAGACGGCTGGCATCCCACCCTGCCTGCCCAGGCTAGGACCCCAGCCGCCTGGTCTCAGAGAGCAAGGTCCGGAGGCTGCCGTGCAGCCCTGACGGTGACGCACAGGGGAGCTGCTCCCCTCTTCCAGGCCCACGGCAGCTCAAACACCCTCACATTTCAACAGGCAAAGCCTCGGAAGGGCAAAACCTTCCGGATGCCTACACCTCGCTGTCTGGGAAGGACAGCTAACTCGTACACAGCCTCCTCCAATGGCGTTGCACGCAAAAGCTAATTAAAGTTTGATCGGTCTCTTTGTAGCTTGAACAAGCCGATGCTGCTCAAACAAGATAGATGTCTGCAAGCTGTCACGTTGGTCTTCAAGGGATGCGAAGTCCTGCGCGGCCATTTACAGGTACCTGCGAGCACAACCATGGGAAGCAAGCCCAATTTCCTTGACCGAGGCTCTGGCAGTTTGTTTAAAGGAAGCGGAGATAAAGCCACAACGTTTATAGGGTAGGTGGCGGGGTCAAAATTATTCTAGGCTAGATATCCATGCCTTAATCCTGCTTTCCAGTACAACAGCTTTCGGGCCCTTAGAAAGAAAACATTTTTATAGGATTTACATTTACATGATGATTACAAATAACCATCTGTCTGCTTCTACTTCCTCAATCTGGTCCACGTCCCACGAGCCCCCAGCCTGTGGTCAGAGCAGCTAAGCTGGAAGGAAGAAGTGGATGCCCGTCAGGAGGCTTTGGGATAATTGCATTCTTCTCCCACCAGCACTCGGCTCTCCACCTCCTCCCCCCGGCGCACATGGTGAGCATCTGAGATTACCGGCGATGAGAGGGAGGGAAAGACTATCCTTTTTGCCTTTTTCAATGAGTGATGTCTTAAAACACTGCTACATCTGTCATGCTGACTAGAGGGTATAAAGAGATACTGAGTAAATATTAATACGCTTCTGCAACTTGGGTCCTGGTAGTTTATCTTCCCCCTCCTCCTATTCTGTGCTGTGCTTATCTCAGGATAATATTATTCTCATATAAAGTTTGTACAGCTGGTCACCTGCCACACGCAGGTAGATTTCCCCTGTTCCATGGCACTGCCCCCCAGCATCTTCCTCAATCCTCATCTCTCCACCACTGCCTTGGCACTCTTCTCCTCTGACATACTGATATGCACAGTCAGCATGAATTATTATGTCAAATAACTGCCCAGGTGTCATGGAGTGGACAGATGAAAGGACTGTTATTATACTTTAGGTAGTGTGTGGTGCAGAAGGGTATTTATGTGTATGATCTACTGAAATGGTCCCAGAGCAAGCCAGCACTACCCGAGTGTGGCTGTCACCTGTGAAATGGGGGGGCTGGTAAAAACCACAAGGGCTCGCAGACAACCTTCCTCGTGAAGAATACACATTGTTTGAGGATGCTACTGCCCTACCTCTTTGTTTCAGCAACTGCCTCTATCACAGTTTGTATGGAAAATAAAATAATAATTAAAAAGGATCACAACTTAGGCAATAATAGTCCTAGGCAAGACTCCCAGGGATCCTGAGCTCCCTCTGCATGTGCACTGCCTGTGACAACCTGCCATCTTTCTCTAAAAAGGATGGTAAGGAACTATACATTTTTTCCCTCTTGTTGTTTTTCCCATCCTTTCCCTATATCCTGATACAGATACTGCCTAGGAGATATGAATGCTACCTAACTTAACATGACTCAAAATGTTCAGACTTTACTTTAAAATGAGGCCTCAAACCCATGAGGTT